CACCTATGTGTGGCTCAGAGTCCTTGTGTATTCCTGGTCACCTGTTTGTCATTTTTCCAAACACTTGGGAAAAGTGTCTCTGGATGCCTCCTGATCACAGGGACCACCAGCACCAGCACTTTGAAAGCTATTAAGTTGCTGTATGACAGTTGGCCCGTAGATGGCAGACAAACCCCGTAGTGACAAAAGAGGGACTCTGTATCTTAGAAAAACTGAGAGAGTAACTTGTCAGGAGGGAAAGGTGGTTCTATGGGTATGGTGGGAAATTATGAGAGCTGCTAGAGTCTGAGTTGCAGCCACATTTTCACCCTTCTCTGACATTGGGATCACGGTCACGGTCCTCCCGTTGTTCATCGATTTGCTCGAGCGGGCCCAGTAACGTCTTTATTGTGAGACTTGTTACTGTTTTTGGCATATTGAATGCGTCACAGGTAGCTTGCAGTCTTTGCCGTGCAGGCGATATACTCTTGGTAGCTTGCCGGGCTCTTCGAGGGGGTTGGAGGAATTGAACCCAGCTCGGCCGGGTCGGCTGTGTGCAAGGCAAACACCCTACCACTGTGCTATTGCTCCAGACCGACATTGGGATAGAAATGATTTTGTCATTGTTAGTGGGAAATGTACACTAGTGAAGGATTGATTGTTGAACCTTCCATGATTGAAACCTGATCATGAATGAGCGATTTTGCAATTATGTATGTCATGGTGATTCAATAAATAAGTAAATAAATAAATAAAATTCACAGAAGTTCTGTAGTGTCTGTCTTCTATGGACTGTTCTGATCCCATTTTTATTGTTCATTATTGGAGATATATTTTTAGTCACTTACAGTAAAATGAGGCCAATAAGGGAATTAGGTGAAAGTATAGAGACCCCAAAGGAACTCCCCTGTCCCGCCAGCACTCACTCAGGAATGACCTATTGGATGAAAGGAGAGACGGGCTCCTGCTGAAAGGAGGAGAGTCTCACGGAAAGTGAACTTTTGGGATCTTAACCTTCCCTTTCCCGACTCGTAGAGTAAGATAATTCCATGTTTGTGGTGTGAGCCCCCAGTCTGTGTGTTCCTGTGAGGCAGCCTGAGCTGATGCTTCACACCCAGCACCCTCTATTGAGGGTCTGCCTCAGGGGCACATCACTGTAGTGGGAGGGAGAAGGGGAGAGTAGGGAAAGGAGCTTTGCTATTTTCTTCATCTTCACCATTTCCTTTTCTGCTTGCTGAAAAAAAGAGCATCAGTATTCATCCTTGGCTTATTGGCTAAAAGACCAATATGGCCTTTGACATAAAACTGTTGAATATTTAGTTTTCGGAGCAGAAAGTGCATCAGGATGCACTGGCCATGATCCAGAGACTCGCGAATAAATCTTGAAAGAGATCAACAAGTTTCAGAGATTCTTCTGAATCCATTGTAAGGCTGAGTCATCAGGGCATATATGTGGGTTTTGAGACTGAACTCTAGGCTTTCACAGAGCTTGGGTGGGCTACCTCCTCCAATCTCCCTGTATTTCTGCAGGCTCCAGTAATCACTCACGTGACTCAAATCTGCCACCCAGTTAAATATTTAACTGCAACTCTAACTTCCCATTACCAATTTTTGACTTCCTGGAGCAACATATCAACTCCACAACACTGATAAACCAGGATTAGCACACCAGATTGGGTGTGAGATAATATAGAAGACAGCCAATCTCAATTAACAAAATGTAAACACAGATGGCTAACTTCATAGGAATCTTGGAATTCTATGGGGTCAGGATAAAGGGGTGCTTGGGAAAATTAAAAATAATGGTGGGGGGATGGTGCAATGGTGGTGGGAATAGTTTTGGAATAGAGAATGTATGTAAGAAATCATCATAAACAACTTTGCAAACTACAGTTTTTCTATAAAGTAAAAGGGAAACACATCAGACAACATTGAACATCAGATAGAGGTTCATTCTAATAATTTCTAAGTATTAATGCAGGGATGATCCTGTTTGCTTGTACAATAAGATGACCCCCTTTTAGCCTCCCTGAGTACATCCCAGGAGAGGGTCCTTGTAACCTTCAGGGCTATACAGAGTGTGAGGAGCATCTTATCCTGAGACAAGCCCAAGCCACTGGGGAAAGAAAGTACAGGGCTTTCGGTTTATGTCTCAATCAATCCACCCAGGTAATTCCTGGCACCACAGTTTCCCAGAATGTCTAGGGGGCATTCCTTGAAGTTTCTTTGTGCCTTGGCTGACTTGGTAGGCACAGGCATGGGGGTGTGCCCTGGTGTTCTCCAGCACCATAAGCCCCGAAAAGCTGCAAATCATCAACTCTTACACTGAACTGGTTGGCTCATCCGGCCCAGGATTGACTAGAGGGACAAAACACACTAGCAGTATTGGTAAGCTGCTACTGTACAGAAATCAAATCACTGCCAGGCCCTTGTTCATCAATTTACTCGAGCAGGTGCCAGTAACATCTCCATTCATCCCAGCCCTGAGATTTTAGTAGCCTCTCTTTACTCATCTTTCCCAATGATTGGAGGCTCTTTCAGGGTCAGGGGAATGAGACCTGTTATTGTTACTGGTTTTGGCAGATTGAATACACCATGGGGAGCTTGCCAGGCTCTGCCTTGCAGTATATATATATATATATATATATATATATATATATATATATATATATCTGTCATTGTGACTGTCGTCCCATTGTTCATCGATTTGCTCCAGCGGGCACCAGTAACATCTCCATTGTGAGACTTGTTACTGTTTTTGGCATATTGAATACGTCATGGGGAGCTTGCCAGGCTTTTCCATGCAGGAAGAATATTCTCGGTAGTTTGCTGGGCTCTCCGAGAGGGGCGGAGGGATCGGATCTGGGCAGCTGCATGAAAGGCAAACACCCTACCTGCTATGCTATTGCTCCAGCCCATATCACTGTCCTCCCATCGTTCATCGATTTGCTTGAGCAGGCCCAGAAACGTCTCCATTGGAGACTTTGTTGTTACTATGTTTGACATATCGAATATATCACAGGTAGCTTGCCAGACTCTGCCATGCAGGCGAGATACTCTCGGTAGCTTGCCGGTCTCTCCGAGAGGGGTGGAGGAATTGAACATGGGTTGGCCATGTTGGCTGTGTGCAAGGCAAACACCCTACCGCTGTGCTATCGCTCCAGCCCATATATATATACATATATATGTATTTCAGAATATATATATGTATATATTTCCCTCTATGAGTCTTATGATGTGACACAGCCTCGCGGTCCAGGAATATGTTCACTCATGTGTGAGGCTCGGCCTGAGCTTGTGGAAAGCGGCCTGGAGCATGGTGGCGGTTGGGTAGTGGAGGTTGGCTGCTGGGACTGGGTCCCTTGGGGCAGGGAGGGCTCTCACCCAACCCCATTGGTGTGCCCCGAGTAAAAACTGCCTGGCATGCAGTCCCATAAATCAAATGATCACATAAAAATCATATATTTATCCAGGCTGTAGTTTGCAGATGGGGCCCACTGAAAGCAGGATCCTGCTGCATGAAGAGCAATGGTGGCAGAGTGGGGAGATCTCTCCTGCTCAATCAGGTGTGAGACAGAAAATGGCCCTGGAGGGTCCTGTCTTGGACCCTGCAGAGGGTGAGCCCTTGGAGCTGTTCATATCTGACAGAAGAACTTGGGGAAATTCCAGTCACAGGCTGATCACAGGAGAGGAAACAGTCATGTCTAGACTCCATGATGACTGCAGGGCTCCCATGGGACCTGCCGCTTCCTGGGAAATATTCCAGCCCCTCCTCAGGATACTCAGTACTTAAATTAAGCATGTGGATATCCTACTGGGCTAGTGGTTCATGGAGGTCTGGTTTTGTCTCTCCTGTGCTTAATTCAGTGGTGGGGAGACGCTAGGACTTTGCAGGGAGAGCTGTGTTTACAGTTCCAGGGACAGCCTCCAGAATGAGAGAACAGTGATGTTGATGGGGTGGTGAGAAAGCTTCCTTAGGAATCCAGCTGCTGACTTATGAAGCACAGCTCTCTGCAGCCCCAAGTGATACTTCTCCTTGTGTGGTTCTATCTTCACACTGATTGTGAGTCGCAGATGCTGTGAGTGGGCTGTCATTGGCTGTTCTGTACTGTTATCACCTCAATCTTCTCAAAACACTAAGTCTATCATCTGGTGTCTGAGAGCTGCCGTGTCTTTAGGAGGTTTCCAAGCAAGGGACGCACTGTGATGAGACAGGATATTCAATGATGAGTCGGTCATGTTGGACTATCTCAGCCACTTCTTCTGAGCACATTGTTCTTTTCATTCATTGCATTCCTGTGTGCTAAGAATAACAATTTCTCACACAAAATAGTAGAGTGATTGGTGAGGGAGACTGACACATCAGGAGGCATGAGCTGGGGTCCACATATGAGTACACAACTCACATGGCCCAGAGCACCTGCAGATAAATGCTTGACAGTTCCAGCACTGCAGCATTTCAATAGCCTTGCAACCTTGGTCCCCGGCATTGAAATGCTCATCCCCATGGCTTCGTGATATTCAGTGACTGCCATGTTCTCTGAGCACTGACATATAGTCCCCACCCCATCAAATAGAAAAACATAAAATTTTATTTCTTTACAAAGTTTAGGAAAATATAATGCAATTCCCAACCAAAGACAAAATTTCCCTTGCCTCAATTATATACACACTTGAGAAATCAAAGGAATATGTACAATTCCTGAAGAAGTCTATACTGGTGTGTTCTGACAAAACCTGTCTCCAGGGGAGAGAAGCAGGGGACCAGGGAACCGCCCTTCTGGGCTCACACCGAGGCCCTTCTGGGGCCTGGGAGGAACATGTTCTCTGTGGGCAAAGTTCTGCTTCCCCACAGGGACATGCACCCCCCTAACTTCCTAGCACCTGGGCTGGTCACACCCCTCTGCCTGCCCAACCTACCCAGCCCCCTCTCATTTGCAAGTCCTCAGAGCTCATGCCTGGACATCAATAATAGTCTGTGTCACCCTGTAGGGTCAGTGTCTGTCACACCCAGAGTGGACATGAGGGCCCCTGTGCAGCTCCTCAGCTTCCTGCTGCTCTGGCTCCCGGGTAAGGAGGGAAATGCAGGTTTACATGAATTTGGACTGCTGGGTCCTTCAGGGAAAGAAATTATATAACTTATGATTCATGATAATGACATACGCTTATATTTTTACCTCAGGTGTCAGGTGTGATATCCAGATGACCCAGCCTCCATTCCTGTCTGCATCTCTGGGAGAGAAAGTAATCATCACCTGCAAGGCCAGTCAGGACATTTACAGTAGTTTAAGCTGGTATCAGCGGAAACCAGGGAAATCTCCCAGGGTCCTCATCTATGGTGCAACCAGTTTACAACCAGGCGTTCCTCCTCGGTTCAGTGGCAGTGGATCTGGGACAGATTTCACTCTCACCATCAGCAGCCTGAATTCTGAGGATTCTGCCACTTATTACTGTCAACAGCATAGTAGTTTCCCTCCCACAGTGATACACACCAGAACATAAACCCCCAGACATCAGCTGTGTGAGGCTGGGCTGCCCCAGCTGCTCCTCCTGGTGCCTCCACTGCTGAGGGTGTATCAGATGCAGCCAGGCTTAAAGATTAACAGAATTTGCTTTTGATGTACATACACTTTTAAAGAAAAATGCATCATATAACGAGGAAAGGATACTACAATTGGTAAGACCCTAGCCATGCATGTGAAAAACTCTACTTGGATCCACAGGACCCCGTATTTTTCCTGAGGGAATTTCTCTAAGCCAGGAATGAGCCCTGAGCACTGACAGGTGTGAAACCCAAAGAATCAAACACAGAAACAAAGTAAAAGTACTTTACAGCTCTTTCATCCAGAGTCAGACAGTGGAACAGGCCGAGGACATCTCATCACTAGTATCCCCGGGATGACAGAGGACAGTCACCTCCTGTGAGCCGGGGGACACACACCTCCCTGTTCTGCTACTCCTTCCAGGGATGCTGTGCTCTTTGGGAGCCTCACAGGGCCCCAGCACCTGGATCACATCTCCCCCATCCCAGTCTGCCCTTCCCAGACCCTCTCACCTTCTCCACAAGCACCCCCAGGGCTTCTGCTCAGTGTCCCTGGTGGAGACTCCAGTGTGTCATCTCCAACTCCCTGTCCTGAACTCATAGGCCCCAGTTTATCCTGCTCATACAGGGGTCCTGGTGACTTCAGCGATGGGCTCCTGTTCTCCTCATTCCTGTCATTGTCACCCCTATTTCTGACACTTTTCTGTGGATTCCTGTGCAGGACACTCGTCGTGAGTGGGATCCTGGGAAGCAGAATGTAGAGTAGGAGTTCTCTGACCCTGGGGCAGACACAGTCCTCTGGGAACTGTACCCTTGTAGCAGGATTAACAATGGTGCAGACATGAGAACTTCCTCACTGGAGTCCCTTGGGAAGCTGGCAATGACTGAGAGTGGTTTCCCTCTGGAACCATGCTGACCCTTAACCTCTGTGTTGCTCCTGTCAAACAAGTCACCTGGTGGACACTCTCCCCAAACTCAGCTCTAGAGAGGATCCTGTACTCTAGATCCTGCCCAAAACCTGCTGAATCCCAGGGTTACAGAACCCCGTGTTACTCTGAGCTCAGAGCTCGGTCCAGCTCCCGCTGGCTCACAGAAGCCCATGTGTGGGGACCTGCCCTTCATGTCGGACTGGGTAGCAGCTGGGCCAGAGGGCTGGCATACTGTTGGTTTTACACCTTTGTGAAATTTGTATAGAAGACAAACCATACATCACAACAACTATCAATTTCACATCTCGTCAAACAGAAACTAACCGTCTAACACCAACCTCTGTCTTACTCCTGAAGAAACTTCCAATGAATTTCAGTAATTGTCAAGCAAGAAGCTCATTCGTCATCACTGCAAAGTCCTGTAGGAGTAGCAGTACAATTTATTGCAAATTTATATTTGTTTCATTCAGTTGTTCTCCATCTCTTTAATGCAGAGCTTCATACAGATCCCAAGGAAGCCTACATCTACTCTTTCCGTGTCCCCAGAAGAGACGATATTCATCTCAGAACTGGTAACACCTCATATTAGGGCAGCTTACAATTACCCACCATGGGATTATTCACGTCCATCTCTGACACCCAGATTGATGACATGAGCATGGGCAGTGTGTGATTAATGATTGACAGCCTGGTTTTCCTGGTGTTGCTTATTGTTTCCATAAAACATATTGTTAGCTGGGGAATTATCTACTACAGTTTTGAATACTGTATAGGACTGACACAGCTGCATTAAAGACTTGGCTGCATAGGCTCAAATTATTCTAAACTCAAATGTAAATCGAGTTGCATCACTTGCATTTCTTTTCTCTCTCCACTACTACCATTGGTAGAGTCATAGTCATACGTTGGAAAATAAAGAACCATCTCAGAACAAAATAATCCTAGGACCAGGCATTTTACTGACCTAGAAAACATGTTTCTCATGGTCTTGGCCCTGAGTTTGAATCCTAACACACCATGAAAGCACTCTACAACAACAATGGTTGAATTGTTACATTTGCTCTCTCCTGAAGCCACAGAAGCAATCCTTATGAGTCAGTCTAGAGCTAATATCGTGAGGACTCCTCAGTGGTGCATCCACTGTGGTTCTCAGAGAAGGTCTGGTTATCCTGGAAGGAGGAATGAGACTGCATTAGCCACTCTATAGAGGAGCCAGGAGCCCTCTGCTCTCTGCCATCCCACTCTCACATGTACCGTTATCCTTAGAGGCTCCTTCTTGTTCCTAGGACACTCCTGCCTTTTCAAAAATAACAGTTACGACATATCCTGGCATCACAGTCCCTATTACTTGTCGATTTGTGCCTGGGTTCTCCTGTAAACTCTGGTCATCTCCAATATGACAATAAGAATTGGACATGTGCACTCAGAATCAGAACTCAGTATTGAAAGCAGGTAAAGGGAAATATATGATTACTTCTCAGTATCTGTGCTGCAAACCATATTGCCCAAAGAGAAAGAAAGAGAGGAGAGAAAGATATATATATATATGGAGAGAGAGAGAGAGAGAGAGAGAGAGAGAGAGAGAGAGAGAATAGCGCCTGTCATAGAAGCAGGGTGGGGTGGGGCGTCAGGAGGAAAAATAAAAAGAGGGAAAATAAACACTAATCACTGTGAGTCATTTCTCCTAAAGGAGCTGACCATTCTATTAGGAATATAAACACTTTGTTGTTTCACATTGTTGTGTGAAAATTCCCCTATAGAAAAAAGCCCAAGGTCTGGCTAGTCCCCAGGGTAGAACAGTTTAGATTTGGGAGTATATAACCAGGCTCACAGAAATGTACCCAAACAGCATAAGTGTACCTGAAAATGATAGAGTAAACCATTTAGTGTCTTTGCGTTATAAAGGGCACCATACACAAAGAGGAGAGAAAGAGAGCGAGAGCGAGAGAGAGAGAGAGAGTCCAGACTTTATGGTTGAAGGATCCTGCTGATTGACTCTGAGACAGTCCAGCCTCTGCTCTTCAATGAATGTGGAGTTACTCACTCACTGTCCTTAATGCTTCTGCCCAAGAATGGCTCACATGTTGGGGCCCAGGTTGCAATGACATTTGCCTTGAATATTTGGCTTCCTGTGAGCTCTCTGGTAGTGCCCAGGCCACACTAAATCTTGCATAGTCCTTATAAGTGTGTTTATTACTTGTCTATCTGTTTGTTTCATTTTCAGCAACTGACATGGATGGAATGAAGTTGAAGGTGAAAATCTGATTGGCTTTAGCGAGGTACCTTTTTGCATGCTCCGGCTTGCTGACAGACTTTACAGTATCTTTTCCAAAGAATTGGGGAAGTCTCTAAGTCGCAGTAGCTCAGAGATCACCATCAACTGAAACCTATTTAGTTGCTGTATCACTCAACAGCCACGAGATGGCAGACCAACCCCATACGTGGCAAGAGAGACCCTGAATCCTAGAAACCTGAGACAGTAACAGGTCCATTGGCAGCAGCTGTGGTGGGAAAGTATGAAAGCTGTTAAGAGTCTGAGTTGGAGCCAGATTTTCACCCTTTCCTGCTGTGGGGATAGAAGTCCTTTCCTGCCTCTCTGCTATGGACTTTTGATCCCCCATCCAGTGCTCATAATTTGACTTGATAGAGCAATAGAGTCACTTAAGATAAAATGAGCTCACAGGGGGGGATTAGATGGGAGTTTAGGGACACCAGGGACCACTGACCCCACCCCCTCCCAGTCCCCACAGGCATGAATTCCAAGAGAGGCTTGTGAGGACAAGGGGAGAGAGTGGCTCCTGCTGACATGAGGAGGGTCTCACAGGAAGTGACCCTGAGAGACCTTGACCTTCACTCTCCAGTCTCCCAGAGTGTGAGAATCCCATGTATGTGGTGTAAGCCCCCAGCCTGTGTGTTCCTGTGAGGGATCCTGAGTTGATGCTTCACACCAGCACCCACTGAGCAGGTCTGTCTCAGGGACACCCAGAGAAGCTGGTCCTGAGGAAACTTTCCTCCGATCTATTCTGACTGCTAAGAAGAACTCACAAAACTTTTTCACCTTGTAAAGCAATAACTTGTTGATGAAACTTCTGGCTGTTTAATTTTGACCAGAAATCCAACAAACTGAGTGAGATATCACCTTGATAGTTATGTTTTGGGTGTCCTTATGCGGCTCCACTCAGGTGTCATGGAGAACACAAAATGCCACCCACCTCCAGTCCCCCTAGCTGTTCCAGGAGAATGTCAGTGTCCCTTCAGGGCCAATATGAGTGTTCAGGGCATCACAGACTGAATCTAGTTCTGAAGCTTCTGTTCAGTCCATTCCCCCCGAGGCTCTGCAGGATGGTGACAGCTACTCTGTCCCCTCCTCAGCATCAGAGGAATCTTCCACAGGAGCTCAAACAACCTCTGTATGCTAACCCCCATCTGCTGCTCCTGTGGTGGAATGGGCAGTCTTAGGGCCTCTTATGACAACAGAATTGTGTGAACATGCTGGAGCCTCATCCTCCTTCTCCCTCAACCCATCCCCTGGCCATCATGATCACCTCAGGGAAACTCCTCTGGAGCAGACAGTGTAGGCAAAAGTGTGTGTCTGATCTGAGCTGCTCTTTTTTTTATTTTTCTGATTATCTTTATATGTATAGAATAATTTATATCTTATATAAAAAAGTTTCTGCACATTCCAATATTCAATAATTTTAGATGCCAATTATTGTACTTTATTTTGATAACTTTTAGAGTCATAAAATTTTATTGCCAGATAGGTGAATCAGAAGGGCAGCACATGCCTTGGGACAATGTATAAAGACCTGGCCTTGATTTTTTTCTACCAAAATACCTACAATTTAATTATCTTTAAGAGAATATTACAGTCATTCTGTCAAGGTAGTTAATTTTTAATCATGTAATATGTTAAATCTTATTTTAAGATTTTTAAAATTTTTTATTAGTGAAACACCATGAGGTACAGTTGTATACTTACAAATTTTTGTGCTTGGATTTCAATTATATAATGATCAAATACTTATCCC